TCCATGGTGATCAAAGTGACTGAAATCATACCTTCATTGATAATCAAACAACTCAAGCTTTCATTGACATCCATCCTATGATTCGCCCTCCATTCTTTTCTTAAACTTAAACAATTCCTTGTGGAGACCATCAATGCGAATAGAATACTTAACACAAACAATATCCATTTGTTGTGGACTACAAGGGATTTAGGAGATAACAACACAAATATGACTGCTACTATATAACTTTTTCTGGCTCTAAATGTTAACCTATATTTATTTGAAACAATCCATCAAAAGTTCTTCATTGTTGCGTGCTTGAACCAACCAACATAAGCATACAAAACCCACCAAGGTGCCAACAAGCAGCTAACACCTTTAAGCATGGGCATGCAAAAGAAATCCTCTACACAAAGATAATGAAAATGCATAAAGCCAGACTGTTTTGAGCAAAACTCAGCTGCATTCAACTCAAATAGGCGAAAAGACTGCTTCTTTACATAAAAGTGATATCTAACAGCCATTAAACCACTGCAGACTCAAATCTATCATATTCTAACTAGGAGGAACCACCAAACCACTAAAAAATTGCTTCTTTTCCAGGTTTCATTTATCTCCGATACAAAAAAATAACCTAAAACAAGCCAAGACATAAATTTCAAACAACAGAATTTATTACCCCATAAAAGATTTCCCCCAAATGACTCCAAAGCATCCCCTTTGAACAAAACCCAGAAATCATCTCAAACAATCACCTCATTACGACAAAACCCACGTTCCAAATCCACACAAAAAAAGTACACAAAAATGAGAAACCAGAGTCCAAAACATGAAAAATGCAAAAACACTAAACATAAAAAAAATAAAAAACATACTCTTGTCCATCAAGATTCCCTTGTCCACCACTCGCACCACCACTCCCATAAGAACCATCTTCGGTGGCAGCTGTCTGCCAAACGGACTGCCAAGCCTGAGAAGGTGGTTGAACATACACCCCAGTGGCAGGATCCATGGCTGGCCTTCCGATCATCATCCCTCCAGTGGCAGCGGCAGGCTGTCCCATCGGAGGGTAATAATAAGGTACCCCACTAGCCGTAGCGCCGACAATTCCACCAAGACCAGCAGCTTCCTCTTTGATCTCATCTCTAGGTACAATATCAACCAAGAAATCAAAAATGTCAGTTCTTGTAATAGCAGCAGCAATGTCATTCTTCTGTAAAGTCCTTCTCTTGTTTTCCTCAGCGTGAAGCCAAGAACGAATTGTCAGTTCTAAAATGAAAAGCTCACATGCTTTAGCAAAAAGAATAGGTGCTTCAGCAGAGATCATGCGCACATCCTCGTCAGCTTTCATGATTTTCTTGATTCTTGCTAAAGGGAGTTGATGGTTCTTGAAATCATTAACTTGTTCAATTTCTTGACGTTGGTAAGACCAAAACATTTGAAGTTGTTGCTGTTGCTGTTGGAGGAGGTGGTGGAATGGGGTTGAAGATGGTGCTCCACCTGCTGGAGGTAGTGGTGGAGTGGTGGTGATGGATTGCGTTGGGTATGCCGTGGGCTGAGGCTGGTGATTGGTGGTGGTGTTGTCCATTGTTTGAAACAGAAGTTGTTTTCGTGTTTTGTTTTGTTTATTTATTTATTTATTTTGAGGGTTGGAGATGCGATGAATGGGGGGGATGAAGAGATAAGGTGGAGGGTTTCAGTGCTTCCTGTCCCTGTGATTTGCTGATTTGTTCATTGAATGGAATGACTTTTTCTGTTCCTCTTGTTTGGCTTCTTTCGTGTCATTTATGTAATTTTCTTTTAACAACTAGGATATCATAATATTTATAATGTGGGGCCCGATCTTTTTTTTTACATAAAAAAATTCAAGACTCGAGTAATATATTTAAATAGCTCAGCTAATTCGATTAACACTAATAAAAAAAATACAATAATAATAAATATACTAAAAATAATAATATTTAAACGAGGTTAAGCATTTTGAATGAAACAAGAAAAATATAAGATGTAGATTAGTGATTTAATTAGGTTAAATAAATTTTATTAATTTAATAATATAATTAAAAAATATATTGATAGTAAATAAATAAAAATAATTGGCTATAAAAATAAATTGTAATATAATAATTTGAATGCAAAAAAAAAATTCATTAAAAACTTATCATCGATATATTGCGTGCTATATTGTCAAAAGAAGCAACGATATTGAAAAAGATCATAAGTGTTACGAGAGCAATAACTTAAAAAATAAACTAAATAAAATATTATGATATAAGTATTTTACCTTTATATTTAATTAATTAATTTAGTTCAATAAAAAATCTCTCTAAAAAAATTTAAATTTAATAAAGAATAACAAGTAAAAAGGCTTAAAATAATTTAAGTAATTTTTAAATTAATGAAAAATCCTATATATATATAATTAAGTAGATTTTGAATGATAAAACTAAAGAAAGTGAGTTTATGAGTTTAAAAAAAGAGGAGATCAAATAAATACAAATAAATTTTCTAAATTTGTGTTAATCAATCACATTCTTCTAGACTCAGGTTTAATCAAAAACATCAATTCCCAAACAATTTACTATCAAAGGATAAAAATAAAAAAATAATATCAATATAAAAAATTTATTAAATTAAAAAAAATCAATCAAAAAAAATAATCAAATCTAATAGGAAAACAAACTAAAAAAAGGCTGAAATCATAAAAAAAAATTAATTTTAAAATTAATTTTAAATAAAATAAATAGTAATAAAAAAAATAAGGATTAAATATAAATTTTTTTTATAAAAGAATGAAATTATAAAAAATTCTAAATCTATAAATTATTTTAAATAAAATAAATAATAATAATAAAGAATAGACTAAATCCAAAAAAAAATGAAAGATTGCTTAAAATATTAGAAGGGTTAGCGCCTTGAGGAGAGGAGAAAGAAGGGGAAAAAAGTCACATCAAAGGTTAGTTATCCACGTATACCGCCCAAGGATGTAGAGGTTGTAGAAAATATTTGAACACTGCCTTGAAATTCATTATTTGACCATCAAATATCATCGCATGTGATATCTAAATTATATAAAAATGACTCATGTATTACACCTGCAATGCACACATTAATTATTTTTTTATTAATATTTATTTATATAAAATAATTAAAGTAGCCCCAAGTTAAATTAATTAATAATAATATAAAAAATAATTTTAAAAATATAAAAAAAGCTCTCGTACACCGCTTAAAGAATTTGAGTATATCAATCATTTTATACAAAAAAAATGAAAAGACAAATAATCCCCTATAAGCTAATTTAATTAAAAAAATTACTTTTAAGAGTTTTTTAATTATTTATTGTACAAAAAAATATAAAAAAATTAATTTATCCTAATTAATTTGATAATGAACAAATAAATAATGTAAAAATAACTGAATTCCTTCCAATTGCCGGTTCAAAGTTTTTGTAGCGCAAGGAAAGATTCATCATTACCGTGGTTCAATGAATAATAACATGTGAATGTGCACAATAACTTTGTTAAGAGATTTATTTACTTTTTATTCAATAAATAAGAATGTGGAAGATACGCTTTTAATATCATTAAAAAAAAAAACAGTTTGTAAATTGATTCGAAGAAACCTCATTGAAGCACACAAAAATCTCAAGAATGTCTTTAATCTACTTTTTGGCATGGAATTTACTTTATCAATACAAAATGTTGGAGTTGATTATGGTTTCTTCTTCTTCTTTTTTTGTTCTAATTGAAATTCTTTGGTAGAATACAAGTTCAAAGAAATCCAGATTTTTTATTTGAAAATACAAGTTAATCTGAAGAAATAGCCAAGAAGCAAGTATTGATTCCAAAAAAAAAAAAACAACTGAGGAAATGGATTAATTTTACAGAATTTGTGATTTCAGAGAATGAAAGAATATTAAAGATTTATTTGTTTTTGTGTTTTAAAAATATTTTTTTAAAAAATTAAATTATTTATTTATTTATTTTGAATTAATATATTTTAAATATTTTTAAATTATTTTAATATACTGATATTAATTTTTTTTGCTATTTTTTAAATGAAATTCAAGCTATGTCAAAATAATTTGTTTCCAATAAATAAGAGTAATGGAAATATCGTTATTTTTAATTTTTTTTTAAAATATATTGAAATAATTTTTATAATATATTTAAAAAAATATAAAAAAAATAATTTTAAAAAATATTCAATTTTATATGGAACACGGTTTCCTCCATACAACCACCCGGAAATGAAACCATACCTGCGAAGCAATCAAGTTTGGTCAAATAAAACGTCAATTTTCAAGTGTCTCGGCTGGTCAAAAAAAAAAAAAAAAAAAAGTTTGGTCAAATAAAACGTCAATTTTCAAGTGTCTCGGCTGGCAACATTTCTTTGACATATGGCAACGCTGCTGCCGCTACGGCCTATCAACTCTAAAATATTAATTATTCATATTTGCACGTGCAGATGGGAAATGCCATTCTATCTTCGCTCCAAAAAATAATTATAATCCTCTTTAACTTCTCCCTTTGAGATGCCCCTTCCCTATCACACGAGAGAACACACTGAGGAGCAGGGTGATGCTAGGTTACAGGAGATGCACCTGTTCATTAGCCTGTACAATTTATTAAATACCAGGAGCGCACGCATGCACTTTTTTGTGTTCTACACACCTTGCAGTAATGTATCAGTGGGGTGCTCGACGTTGAGCAATCTGCAGTGAGGGTAGAGCAAGAGAAACTCACCGGTAGTTCAAAAGATATCTGAGGGACACCAGCACTAGTTTAGCTTCTGCAACCATACCAGTAATGACTAGAGAAATAAAATGGTATGCTGCCAATCTTTCCATGAGAGAATATGTAAATCATAAACGATTAAAAACAAACCCCTGGTTAGCGTGCAGTTAGAATGCAAGATTGGAGTCGTAAGCTAAATGAGAAGTAATTAAAAGATGAGGGTGGGATTTTGTGTATGTTCTGCGTATCAAAGAAGTAACAGATTCTGGAGCCTTCTTCTGGTGTAAAAGAATTAAAAGGTGCAGTTCCTATAACACAAAATTGACTAGCTGTCAAAAAAATTATTCTTTTGGAGGGTATCCATAAAACAGTGTTACGAGCATCAGTGAGCAGCAGTAAATGAGCTTAGCCTATTGGATGTCAAGCTATAAACTCTGCTTACCAGTGTGTAAATTCAGCCCTCCAAACTGTCTTCAAGCAACAAACAACGATAAGATAAAGCCTTGAGGGCATACTGTAACTTCAAACAAAATTGCAGTCCAGCCAACGTATAGAAAAGGAAGGAATTGCTGAATCAATTTCTGTATGATGACTCCCCATTATAATTCGAGGGAATTCTAAAAAGGAAGTCTTCTGACAACATGGCTTGAGTGATCTCTAACTTCAATTTCTTCTAACACTACTTCAACTACTTGGAAAAAACTGTCAAGTGCTTCAGTTTTTAAGTACCTAACAGAGAAACTTCTAGTCTCTTTTTTTCCCATTTCTTTCATCACCTCCGTTTATACACCATTACCTTGTCTTTATTTGTTTCCTTCCTCTTATTCTTCCTAGCATTAGCTACATCTCCTCTAGCAGCCTTTCCCACCACACCTTTTTCCTCGACTGTGTTGACATGTTCAACAAACTCTTCATTAAATTTTGTCATATCACGACATAAATATTTTTCCTTATCTTTTTCAGCAGTCTCCATCATGCCATCCAGCTGAACTTCTGATAATACCTGAAGTAGCTCCAAAGGAGTAGAAGCAGGATCAAGTTCCCAGCAACCCTTGGGAGCATTTTGATCTTCTTGACCTGTGAGCAGAACTGACGGAACCTGGTGAGAAAACCTAAACATCTCTTCCCTTGGGATTGTCCTGGTTTTGCTCGAGTCAGGATGCTGGCGAAACACTGTCTTGAAACCAGCAACTTTAACAAGAGGAGCAACAGCAACTCCTCTCTCCTCTTTGTAGTCCTCAAGCACTTCCATCATGTCATATTTGTGTATGACTTCATCAGGGGTACGCTCATTCCAATTGGGAGACCAGTTTTTATAAACAGCCCAAATATCACCCTTTCCAGGATAGATTTGAATAGTCCCTCTTGAACCCTTCACCCACTTCACCCTGTGAGAGAAAGAATTAAGAGACTTGTTGATTTTATGCTTCCCTATCCAGAAGTCTCCACTGGTCTTGTAAAATCCGGAACCAATCCAGTTTAGTGGGCCCAATTCACGGTTGCTTTTGGCGTTAAGCCAACTAATCCGCATTTTGAAAGGCTTCCGTGACATCACACTGTGAATCATGGCATAATACCGAGGCATCCCATCATCATCATCATATGCAGCCCAAACCTGGTTATCACCAAATGAACTCTCTGTGCGATCCTTGTCAAAATCATGAAAATCTGGATCTGGAACGCTCATGACTGGCCAATCATTGATGTTTGTATCTGGATCATCATTAGCATTGATTGGTGAAGGCTCAGTGGTGTGAGCTCCGCTCTTAGTATCCAGAAACTCTGGACATTCTTTTGAATCAGCTTTTGTGCCACCGTTCTGTTTTCCTCCCTCCTTCTTGATATCCTTTTCTGAAGTCTTTAGAGCAGTAGCCACACTGCTCCATTCCTTCACCTTCTTGGAAATATCGTTCTTAGCCCTCTCCACCAACATCTTTCGAATTTCTATTTGTGACAACTCACTTGTGCTATTAACTTTATGGTTGCCAGAAATGTTCCTCCTTCCTGCTTCTAAACTACTCTTTTGAGAACCAGATTCACCAACTCTTCCATTTCTGTTAGCCACCTGTTTTGCTGTCTCTCTTCCATTACTGTTTGCCCTTTGCTCATCAATGCACCTTCTCTTCTGCAGCTTGTCTCCTTTCAGTACAGAACTGGAACCATAACTACTGAATCCAGAAGCTCCACCAGCAACTGTTTTTGTTTTCCGGTAAAGGAATTCCTCTTCATGCTTTCTTTTCAATTTCTTAGATTGAGCACCTGACAATGCTGACGGTGCACTTGCAAAACCGCCATCTTTAGAAAATGCTCCTGACTGAAACTTAGGTCCCATATTTGTGGAATTTTCAGTCCTTACATGCCAAGTAGAATTATGTTCTTGGCTGTAAGAAGTCCATATAGGGGATGGGCCATTTCCATCCATGGATGGGGGAGGCGTCTCAACACCCATGAAGGACCGATGACAGTTCTGACAAAGAAGGCTGTGGTTGAGATAAGTTCTAAGGTACTCAAATTGTGTTTTACATGCATTGCAGATTGTCCAAAAGGTATTGGGTTTGGAAAACAGCGGAGGGGGTACAGGCTTCGGGTGCATAGCATTCTTCTGGCTCCGTGCATTGGAATTGTTATCATGACCAGTTGGCAATGATGATTTCCAATGTGGAACTTTTTGATCCATATCTGTTACATTCCGCTTCTGGTCATAGACGATTCTCTTGGCTTTATCGGACAACAGATTCCAGGCTTCAGATATAATATTAAACGCCCCATGTGCTCCAACTGCTTTATTTTTATCAGGATGCAGAATGAGAGCCAGTTTCCTGTAATGTCTACGGATTGTGTCCTCACTTGCTGACGGTTCAACATCAAGGACTCTGTACCAATCTACATCTCCATTTGTTCTGTTATCAGCAGCCATGTGCACATCAAGAGTTGCTACAAGTTGTGGAAGACCATCAAGTGCAGGATAAAGTTTTTGAGCCTTCAGTGCAAATCTTCTTGCCCCCGCAATGTCCCTCTCTGTAAACTTCTTCTCTGCAATTTCTTTAACTCTAAATGCCTCCTCTTTATTGCATTCCATTTTCAACCGGTCACACTGTTGGCTGTCCTTTGTAAGTACAAGCCAATGCAATGTTGTTGATATCTTAATCACAAATATCAAATCCAAAACCTGAAGTTCCTACATGCATCATCAAGAAACTGCCTTCAATTTGGCAACAATGATACAAAAAAAAAAGAAAGAAGGAAGGAAACTATCCCTGTAAAGAAGGAAAAAAAAAGTCTGAATTCCCCACATGCATCATCAGGGTGCTGCCTTCAAATGGCAAGTCCTGATGCATCAATAATGAATCCAAAACAAGGAATCTATATGAAAAGAAGAAAAATAATGACCGAGATTCATGCCGAACAACATGGCCATGATTAATAAAGATCACAATGACAAAAACAGAATAACAAATGATTGCTTCTTGTGATCCATCAATTACATTAATTTAACATCTGTTGATCTTAACTTCTATAAATGATCCCATGGAATTACCGGAAAACATCACCGGACTTCCAAGATAAGCAAAACGGATTCGAAAACACATCATTCCAAAAATGTATAATCACAACGCCATGAACGATTCTCAATTATGGTAGGACCATGAAACAAATCAACAGTGGGAGATCAAAAAAAAAATACCAACAATCTGCTTGATCTCTAAGAAACAACAAGAAATGAGAGAACAAAACTCAAAGGTGTCAACAAGTATCCCATTCAAACAACTCTCTCAGAAAGTCAAGTTTCTTCAAAACAACACAAACCTCAATCCATAACTGAACACAAACACAAGTATTCAACTAAAATCAAGGCAAGCAAAAACTATTCGCTTCACAGATTGACATGAATTTACCAAAAACAAAACATACCCAATATTTAACACACAATGAGGTACGTAAATTCTAACAACAAGAAGTAACTCACTTTCAAAGTTAAATTCTCACTAGAAACCCACATATTATTAAAACACGTTATAAACTAGCAAAGCAATCCCAAATAAAGCATAATGTAAGTGCAAATAAGCAAAACATGTAAAAAAAAAAAAATCAAAAGCAGAGAAAAATAAAAATTACCCGTTATCAGAAACTTGAATCAAAGAGACCCCATTGACGACTTAGCTACAAAATTGTTGATTTTGGCCCCTGGATCAAATAAAACTAAAAGGAGGGTTTTTTGTTTTTTTTGGGGGAAGCTATGAGAATTTAGAATTCTCAAATAAAATGAAATTCTACTAATGTATATTAATATTTTTTTTTTATGAAAAGGTAGAGTGGATTTTCTATTATTTATATGCAAAAAAAATGGAATGTTTTGTGCATGGTTAAACCCTGACCATGGTTTGTTTTTAACTCTGGTAAACAGTATTGACAGTTAGCTAAATATGGAAAACAAATTATTCTAGTGTCCATGACAGAAAACAAAAAAAAAAAAGAAAAAAGAATGGTGTAAATTTTACGAGTAACATTTTTCTTTTTTATATTACATGTCTATTTTCAATTTCATTTTTTGCTTTTTTTAAAAAAAAATTGTTTGGCTAACATGATATCTGCCTAGTTCAGAAATTTGAAGAAGGCATTATTTACATGCAGAGTTATTGAATTTCTTTAATTAAATTTAACAATGGAGCTTTCTTTTTTTCATCCTCGATTTATAATTTATTGTACCAAATCCAAGAACATCAAAATGCTCAGTGAGTGATATCCGAGGTAATAAATTTAGCATAGATTTGCTTAACCATATGAGCATTTTCGATTCACCAACTACTCATCCGAACATGGTAGCTATGCTTTGCTTAAATGACAAGTTTCAAAGATCCCAGTCTCAGATTTTCTTGTTAATGTTCGCGTTGTAATTTCCTTCATATTGGGAATTTCATGTGTTCAAGCACAATGTGATAGATGGATTGGCTTGGTAATTTTGCGTTCAAGGCTTGTATTTATCCATCATTTCATTGCTAACATAGATAAGATTTTGCTAAACAATGAGAATCCAATCCTAGATATGACTGTAAAGGTCTGGAATGAAGGATAATGCTGCTAGTTTAGCACTTGGTTGGACTTACCTTGTGGGGGTGAGAAGAGTCGCGAGGTTCAACCTGTATATCACAAGTGCCTTGCTATTTTTCTCATATTCGTTTAGGAAATTACAATCCAGCAAGTTTTGGCATTTTCTATGTTAGTCCTTGGGCAAAACAAGAAATACATGAAAGATCAGGTGCAGTTTACTCGGTCACAGATTAGAGGCTTTGCATTTCACGAGAAGAGAATTCCATTGGGGAGTGGTATCTTTACAACTTTTTATGGTACGAAAAAGCCAATTTATACTCAATCAGAGCTGTCTTCTTCTGTTTTCTACTGCTTGACAAAGTGATTGAGCTTATTGAGAAGATATTATTTGCTGCTGAGATCAGACACGTTGTTCTTCAAGCAAGTCCAGCATGAAAGGAATCAGAAATTAAACCCCACAAAAAAAAAGACGTGAGGATGATAATTTGATGTGATGTTAGCCATAATCAGGCACAAGGGAAAGCAGCTTTTAATACTAATCTTCATCAACCATGGTTTTCTTCCCATCAAGGAAGCTATAGAGGTTGTGGGGGCAACTAGAAAGAGATACAAGAGAGTGCATAGTTGTTTTTTGATGGAATGGTTCATTCGTTCACCATTGAAGATCTGAACAGTTACTCCACTTCCCTAACTTGAAAGACAAAACACTGGGTACTTACATCCAATTCACATAATGTGTATAGAAACATATAATTTGGAACATGAGGCTAAACAGTAATGGATTTTAATGCAAAACCTTCATGCAAAGGTGACAGTAGATCTCTGTCATGAAACTTGCGAGCTTATTTTCAGAATTTGGAATTATTAACGAGTGAAGAGAGCAGATCTTCCTGTCCTGATAAGCAAGTTTTTGCAGAAAAAAATGTTTTTCCTTCTGTCTGATAAATTCTGTCGAGTTGGCCCACCAACATTATAAATTTTTGCTCATATTTGGTTGGTTTGACAAGCATGAACGCCTTGGAATTTGCAGTTTACAAGTCCATTTTTTAACCTCCGAGAAAAGGTTTTGCAGGCATTGCCTTCAGCTTGTTTTACAACAAATTTCATCAATTTTTTAACCTCCAACGCACAGGCCATACAAGTCCTTATAATCATTGAACAAATAATTTCCCACTTTCTTTCAGCAAATTTCATCACCTGCTAGACAGTTAGATAAGTGAAGATACAAGCGCATAACCATATATCCATCACTTTCCATGAAATTATCAAGCATTGACCACTTTGCAGTCCTGAAAAGATTTTTGCCATTGAGAATGATGCGCAAGATATTTATAAGATGTTTGGTCAAGCGCGGATATTTGATAACCAGATTTTAGGTATATAACGTGTTCATACTGCATATAAGCCTCACTATCATTGAACATGAGAAAATCCAAAGGTGACGGTGACAATTGTCCTCTTGCACATAGGAAGAAAACAAGAGCTTGTGACTCAGAAAAGAGTAGTTATATGATAATGAAGTTCACTTCTAATGGTGACCCAGTTGAGCTCTTAGGCTCATGCTTTCAAAAAATATAGCCATTCGCAACTTCTCACATATATCGAAGCAATACTGTAGAAATTTTCCTGATGTTCATTTCCCTCATTTCCTCATCCTTCTAAATGTAGACATGATAGTAATTAATCAGTAATTCAAAAAAATAAAACCAATAAATTGGTGATTAATCATGTCTAGTTTCTCCACCCTAGTCATTTCTACCTAAAACAAAACATGGACAATAAACTCAGAAGAAAGTTGGAACTTCCAAATCAAGTTAATAATATACTCTGTAACAAATGCAACAGCAAACTCATTGCTAAGCCAAGCCATTATTAGAAAATCAACCTTCATAGAACGAACATAACAAATAATGATAATATTGAGTCTGAAACACAAGGATGTCGTAAAACCTCACACAAGCTTCAAGCAAAATATCTTTGTAACTTACACAGGACAATGGATATGCTTTACAGCACTCAAGCAAGAAATGATCTTTACCAAGTTTGCCTGAACTTTAGTTGTGGCACGTGTAGTTTCTAGTAAGAAATGATCTTACCATTTTCATATCCTTTCTGAACATGTTATCTCACCTACATTCTGCATAATGGATTGCAAGTGCAACTGCATACCAAATGATCTTTCATCTATTTCACCCTCATCATGAACTTTTTCTTTCACCTATATAAGTTCAAATCTTATTTCTAATCAAAGCTACATGGAGGTGCTTTTGATTTGTCACTCATTCTGAAATGGAGTTCTAACAACACTTGAAAGTGGGTTTTCGCTTCTTCTTTTCCCCCTTTCAGCTAGAAATGAGCGGCAAGATGGTTGCATGTTATGAATGTATGATACATCACCTTAGATGCCTTCCCCACTTACATGGTCATCTTGTCTTGCATCTAATCTAAATTATGAATTTGAGAAGGTATTATTACGAGTTACGCAAATGTTGGCCCAAAATGTTTTCCATCATCATGGTCTTCAAGATAGTTTAAGACAGTAATTTTTATCATCAGAACAAACTCTCCATACAAAAATTTCTAAAATCAAGTGCTTAAACAAGTCTGAAAGTTGATGGACTCAAATCCTTATGTTGTTCTAGTAGCTAACAATTCGTCAGAGCAAGCGAAAACCAATAGATGAAGGTTTTCACTGATATCCCTGACAACATCCACAAATTGATGAAGCACACTCAAAACTGCAGTTTCTACTGGCCGAGACTTGTGTCTTTTGCAATAAAATATCAGGTCAATAACAACAAAACATCTGAATGAATATTGTGCAATTAAAATGGCTAAATTTAATTATGCTGTTTCACAGAAAATATAACATAAATCTAATCCATGGAATCAAAATTTGGAGCATACCAGCCTAATTCGTTCAAGATTTTCTTCATTCTTTCTTCTTGTCCTTTTGAATCCCCAAATGCTGTTGTGAAAGGGTAGACATAGGTTACTTTTGTGGCCATGGTCCTATACGCAACTACATCTCCTCTTACCAAAAACTCGAGGACATCCGGATCAAACCCTCCATCAACCTCAGCTTGTAAATATTTCCCTGAAAGGACCAAAGAAATGACTCGTAGAAACTAAAATGAACATCAATCAATGCATCTATTATCACAATCACATCTAAAATGCACAACGAAGAATATTAAAGTCCTAAACTTGTTTTTGTATCTCTTGTGTCTTCTTCTTCTTCCAAATAATCCATAGGTAATAGTGTTCAGTGTCTTTCAGAAGTTGTTACATGGTATGGCTGCATATATATGGTGTAGACTGTAGATTTACCAGTTTACAAATTCAGTTTAGTCGAAATACCATTTGGGGTATCTTCAATGACTTGAATCTTGGCATTTCTCTGCGTTTTCAGGATTGCTTCCTCTAACTTCTGCAATAGTAAATTGTAAACCAAATTAGGGATAATTTAGCACAATGGAAGATAAGTAAACATGTATTTCAACTTTAAAACCTGAATTGCATTCTCTTTATCATTCTCAGGAATCCTCCATGGGAATGAAAATGATGAAGATTGCGGATTCGTTGAAACACAACCTGGGTTTGTTGACGGGCAAGGCCTAATTTTCCTGCAACAACAGAAAATTGCAGAGAGTCAAAAGTTTCGATTCAAAACAACAAAGCCATACAAACCAAACCACCCACATTTAATCCCAGAAAGTGGGAACCAAAAAGAACCCTTTGAAGAACACATGAAGTCTGATTAACATACCCATTCTCTAGCCCAATCTGCAAGTTCTTGGACTGAGAAAATGGGGTTGTAGGAGAGAGAAGGGGAGGCTGAGAGTTAAGAGAAGGGATAGCCAAGGAAGGCAATGGAGAATTTAAGGTAACAGTGAGGGCTAAGGAGAAGAGATTGGTGAAGAGAATGGGTTTTGGAGTAACATTTTGTGAAGTGAAGTTAGTGATTTTGGAGGTTGAAAGATGTGGAGGAAGAACATGCCCAATCAAGCTCATACTCGTTACGTTTGTTATCCTATCCTTTTTCAGCATTTCATGCTGTCCTCTTGACACAAAAGACGAAGAGGAAATTTTGCATGGATGGACTCTTATATATTATAACATTCCCGCAACATGAATATCAATCGTCGATATGTCCGAGTGGTTAAGGAGACAGACTTGAAATCTGTTGGGCTTCGCCCGCGCAGGTTCGAACCCTGCTGTCGACGTTTTTCCAATTTTCTTTCTGACAAAATAGAAAGCAGAGAGAGAGAGAGAGATGATGTTTTTTCTTGTATAGGGTTTTGTTCCAAAAAGATTTTAATCTCTCAAACCCCATGTTTGGTTTCTAAGAAAAAACGATAGACAAAAAGAAAAAAGATCTCTCTTTTTTTTTCCTCGAACAAGCGGAAAATGGAATATAATTCAAATCCCATTTCACCATCACCAGCAACACCACAACACTCAAAAACAACACAAGAACTAGCTATAGAAGGCCAAAAGCATCTAGAAGAAACAATCCAAGCTGGTTACCAAATCCTTTCTTCTATGAACGATGAGCTTTGCAACCCCACTTTATGGTCCACCAGCTCCACTGTTACGACTGCTGTGACTTCACCCATTACTTCTAACAATGCCCAAAACGGTGTCGTCGTCATTACCGTCAATGGTGATGCTAATGGTGCTGTACCTGATTCCACTCATGAGTTGAGTGGTGGTGGTGGTGTGGGTAATGGAGCTCTTGATGAAGCTCGGTTTCGGTATAAGAATTCGGTTGCTGCTCTTCGTGATGTTCTTGCGGCAATTCCTAATTCTCACAAGGTTTATTTTCTTAGAAACCCTAACCCTAGCTTTCTTTTTTTGGTGATTTTCTTGCTTAGATAGTGCTTGATTAAAAGGGGCATTTCTTTTCTAACATTTGAAGGGTTTTTTTTTTGTGTTTGTTTTGATTAAATGTTGCTCTAATTAGCCGCAAAATTTTATTATGATGTTTTAAGATAGAATTTGGGGGAATACTGGATGGTTATTGATTAAAAAGGAACAATTTTTACTCTGTTTTCCTTGTGTGTGTGTGTTTTGATTAAATGTTGCTCTAATTAGCTGCAAAATTTTATTATGATGTATTAAGATAGAATTTGGGGGAATACTGGATAGTAATTGATTAAAAAGGAACAATTTTTACTCTAAAATTTTGAGACATTTTTGTGTTTTGATTGGAATTTTGTTATTTAGTCTCAAATTGTCAATCTGATGTATATAATAATTTGGGAGTCAAGTGGAACTTGCTGTTAGAAATGCTTAAGCTTCAATACTTGATAAGTTAGTGATCTAAACTATGATTTTTTTGGGTTAACTGGAAATGTTTATGGCTTCAAATTGGGAAAAATTGTCTTTGTGATTTGGTTATCAAGCTAATAGTGTGGTTCTTTCATCTTCCAAAATAGGCAAAACCTTTTGAAACGAGTTCTCCAGCAGATGAAGCTGAGATTAAGAAGTTGGAAGAGCGAGCCTCCAGCCTAAGAAAGGTAATTTGCCGTGAATTGTGAAGTCATATGGGGTAATAGTTTTGTTGAGGTTATGCAGTTACCATTCTCTGTCCTATAATGGCTCCAATAGTATGGCTCCAACAGTAATGCTGTATGGCACTGGGCTGATTCTTTGGATTACTAAACAACGCAGTTTATCTCATATAGTTATAATAGTTTCTGAGCTTCTTTGAAGTTTTGTGTGCGTGTTTTCCCCCTAATATCTGCACGAATTAGCTCTGAACTTGAATTGTTTTCATCACAGGAACTTGCAAAGAAGAACACATATGTCAAGCTACTCATAGATCAATTACGAGAGATCATTACTGACATATCTACATGGCAGACTCCTTGTTCTGTCTGAAGTTAGTTCAGAAATCATCATTTTGAAAGGGGATGCCTGAGAATAGAGGACTGAGTCTTTGTGAGGTGATGGTGTCTATCTTGACATTTTCTTTCTTTGCGACACTGATATACATTAACTGTAGATCTCTAGAGCTAGATAGTAGGAAGGCGATTCTGGGTTAGCAGAAATTAGTAAACCAAAGAGATTTTGAACAAGAGAGCATGGGTTGTATATCTTGACGGAAATTTCTGGTACAAGCAACTTTGATTTTTTTTTCATACGCAATGACATTCCCTGTTTGATCACTACGTGAAGTGATTTCAGACATTGTTACTTTTAATTTGTAATGTCTGATTTTTGTTCGCTTTGAACCCCTTGGGAAATTGTAGCTGCATCTCATGAAATAAACAATTCAACTCCTTCACATGGTAGCCTTACAATATAAATAAAATACTATCCGCAGCGTGTTTTAAATCAGATTGCCAAGAAGTTAATTTGAAGTTGCTTTATTTGGAAGCACACTCTAGCTGTAATGCTTTGCTGCAGACGCAAGGGTCTCCTATGTATATGCTTGTGGTAGCCTGCTCTCTCCTTACCCAAAGATTTACCTTTTGGAGGTAATTTAATGTTAGATTTCTTACCTATAGTTTTACCCTTTGGAGGTCATTTAATGTTAGGTTTCTCATCCAACTAAGTCTGTAACAGAGCCATGATACGTAATCAGGTCAAACATTGTATCAAGGCAAGGTGACCTTCCTAGAAACTGGAGGGCATGTACAGGTAAATTTAAATTCTCTGTAAAAGCCTGCTTATTGCACTGTTTGAGCAAACACCTTACAAGTGGTTCAAGTTTCTTTGGCAGCGTCATTGATGGCATATTTAAAGAGAAATCGTTGATGGACCTTTTGAGCAGAAAATGTTGATTCTCTTATAAGCAACTGATGTTGAAGAACATCACCACATGTCCTGCGTGTAGGACAGGGAGGCCCTGTATTGTGGCCTTGCAATCCTTTTTCTCGCAGAAAATTATTCGTCAAATTTGCCTATCCTTGTCTGCTAGCTACCTTCAGCACAGACCAAACAGAATGAGGTCCCTTCTGCATTTAAATGTGGGACTGATTTTTGCATCTGTATTGATATTGAATGCCAACCAAATTTTGGGTGTAAAATTAAGGAGGTCGTGTTTGGTTAAAGATTGCGCTCAGGCTGCAAGATGAGTTGACATTCATCGCGTATATTTATTTTCCATTTACTACTGCGCTCATCCCATGGCGATGATTCATTATATATGGAAGAAAAAAAGAAGGGTTTTCCTCTGTTTGTGAGATCACTTTAATGGGTTCGTGAGTTGATGTGATTTTTGGAATAAATTTATGACGGTATCTACCTGCCGGAACTAATGAAAGAATGGAAGAATGTCATTTTGAGAGTTTAATGAACACCACAAATTGCGTGCTTCTGTATCTGAAAGTCTTTTTCATAGGTTAGTTTCACTGGAGGAGTGCTTATTTATGAACACAAGTAGCCTGTCTGGCCATTCATGACGAATGACTCGAGGCTTGTGCTTCGCCAGACTGTTTGCTTCAAACGATCCAAGGTAAACAAAATCGTCCTGCAGGAGAACTTTCCTTCTGCTTTATTGCACTCTACTTTCACCAATTGAATGACAAATGAAGCTACACCGTTTTGAACGGATAAATAGAGGGAAACCCCATAGAGGATTAACAACTAATTATGAACTGAAGATCTAGTAGTGAGCGATGATCTCATATCTACAATAGCAGATTCATCTGCTCCTAAATTGATAGCCTCTTTGCTTGCTCTAATGAACCTTGTAACAGAACCTTCAACATAATCTAGAGCTTCTTTTACATTCATTTTCTTGCTTATCTCATCTGGGAAGCTGCTCAAGAAGTGGTCACCGTTAAGAACAGCAGCTAGTTGAACCACCTCGCTCTGGAATTCGGATAATGAACTATCTTCTCTTGCTTCCGCTGTTCTCAGAGGTGCTACATCTGGCATGGTCACTGCAATGAATTTGGAAAGGAGAACTTAAAAAAGAAAACAATCTATCTCCACCTTATGATTTATCAGTACACAAAAGTAAAGAAATTATCAATCTATCACTAATGAAATCTGAGTCATTTATGCCTACTTGTGCATTGATAAGAACAAAAGTAAAGAAATTATCAATCTATCACTAATGAAATCTGAGTCATTTATGCCTAATTGTGCATTGATAAGACTTACCTGGGCAGTCAGTTCTGGGAGAGGTTAACTCCCCAACAACTCCTTCAAATGTGCCGGCCCATGCATCTCTGTGTGTCAAGAAGTTTGAGGAGAGGTTGAACATTTTCTTTATGGTTGCAGGAATTGAAGAGTGCTCGAACTCTGAGCTTGGAGCAGGCCCATTTGGGCTACTTATCACTGAAAAAGAAACAAATAATGATATCAACACAGCAGAAAATGAAAGAGGGAGCGTGAACAACAGAACATAACGTCAATGCTTCAAAAGTCAAAAGTGTTCAAGAACAAAGTGGCTAATGACATGAAGTACCAGCCAAACTTCACATGAAAGATTAAAAATTAAGCTTACCGGTGCCTTTCTTGATCCAAGGAGAGACCATAATTGTCGGCACACGAACTCCAAGCCTATCAAACTTGAAAAAAGATGGGGCAGGGCCGGTGTTCCCATCTGGGCTGGGAACATTGACATAAGGAGTCTCGACATGGTCATAAAACCCCCCATGTTCATCGTATGTAATGACCAAAAGGGTCTCATTCCACTGGGGACTAGCTCTCAACGTCTCATAAACCTCCTTAACGAGCTTTTGACCATTAGCAACATCATGAGATGGGTGATCATCATTTGCAGGCAATCCTTTAAGATCAAAATACCTTGGTTCAATCACAGTTAAGCTTGGCAGCTTCCCATCTCTAGCGTCTTTCTTGAACTTGAAATCAAACAGATGAAACTTAAAAATATACTTCAATTTCCTCATGTTCCTAAAGAACAAAGTTGTTGGAATGTTTTGGAAGTAAATTCCAAAGTCCTTACCGTTCTCATGAAGTGAATCAAAAATTGTCTTCTGAGGATATCCTATAGCCAATTGCTTCTTACCATGGCTTGTTGGGCCATGAGAAGTAGCAGAATACACAAACAGCCTATTGGGTTGTGTTGGACCAGGGATTGAAGAAAACCACCTATCAAAGACTGCAAATTCTCTGACAAGTGTGGCATAAACTGGCACAGATTCAGGCCTAAAGCCCTTCATGACAGTTTCAGAGAGGTTTTGTGACACGGAGAGAGCTTGTTCAACAAAGCCACTCATTGAAGGAAAAGAGCTATCGCCAAATACCTGTTGCTCCACAGCTTCAAAAGAGTGTCCAGGATCTGGATCCACAAACTCAGCATCATCTGAGAAACAAATGGATTGTGGGCCTGGATTCTTGGTTGATACAGGATTGCATTCTGTTCCAGAGACACCATTGATTGCTGGATTAATAGATTTCTTCATCCAACCAATCATATGATCAAAAGATCTGTTTTCCATCACCAAAACCACAATGGTCTTGATGGGGCTTTGTTGTTGGGTCGTAGAAACACATGAAAGTGTAAGAAACAGCAAGAAAATGGAGGGAAACGAAGGTGGCTTAGTTCTGAATCTTCCCATTCTTGTTTTTTTTTCTCTTGCCAGGAGATAACCCTCTTGGCAAAAGTGCGTTTGCTATAGTTTTGGCCTGTAAGCTTATCTGCTTTCTTGTCGTTATAATCAAATAAAAGAACTCAAACAGGAACCTCTATTGTCTATTGATTGCCAGAGTGAAGTAAATTAGATTTGGTATCTTATACAGTTATTGCTTGAGTGGATATTGTACTGTCAGAATGAGATGGAGGAGTTTTCACTGTACTAGTTTTGGCCACAGAGAGAATAAAGAAGCTTCTCTGCTTCTTTTTTTTTTTTTTTTGTTCTTCCTACGCTTTTGATTTTTATAACGCTCATAATTTCAGTAAACAAGGTCAAACGTACCCAGATCTTTAGCAGATTCAGTTTTCGGTGATTTGATTATATCTTGCTAGATAAATAAATTATTTACCCTCATTCCGCATGTAGAATTTTATGTTTTTTACTGTAGTAATTATTTTTTAAAATATTTTTTATTAAATAATATATAAAAATAATATTTTTAAAATTTATTTTTATTATCAACATATCAAAATAATTTAAAAATATAAAAAAATTAATTTTAAACAAAAATATTTTTTAATCAATCTCTATTTAAACTACAATTCTCCAAATGAACTGAGGATTAGTTTTGAGTTACCAAATTTATTAAAAGATTGTTTGTCATTGTATTTCTAATTATATTTAAATGTGTTTTAAAAATGTACTTGAATTTAAAAAAATTAAATTGATAGTTTTTTAATGTTTTTGTATAGTTTTAATTTATTAATGTAAAAAACTAAAAAAATATATTTTAAAAATTATTTTAATATATTTTCAAATAAAAAATATTTTATAACATAATATTAAATATAGAATAAACCTAATCATCTTTAAAAAAACAATTATATTTTAATTGAGTTATGAATTAACCAATTAGATCGCTTAGGTTTAATTAAATAGACTCCCATTTAATTTTTGAAAAAACAAATTGAATTATCAGGCAAAAATAAATTTAATAACATTTTTTATTTAAGATAATAAAGAAAGTAAATGACTAGAAAACAGAGATTTTTAAAACTATTTTTTAAAATAATAATTTAGGTTAATATATGTTAGTATAAAAATGTCCCTTATTATCAAATAAAAAAAACAAAGATGTTTAATCTCACATATCCATTAAGTGAATGGGAAATACATGAAATTATAAACTGAAAGAATGTCAACAAGAAGGTATCTTTAATTTATTTATTTGTTTGTTTGTTTTTTTCTGAGAGCACATAGTTTTATTTGTGCTGGCCGCGTGAACTCCAGAATTGACAGGTTGCATATTACCCCGTGATGGAATTAGAGAATGACAAATAAAATCTCAAATATGCTTAATTAGCTGGCACTCGATAAAAAAGCCTTCCAAATCATATATATATATTGGCATTATGTTATATAAAAAATTAAATTAAAAAATAATATTATATTAACTAATTTTTCTGTAAAATATTTAAGAAATTTCATGACAAGTGAATTAAGTTTAAAGGCTTAGTTTTTATTAATCAATTTTTTAATAAAATGTTTTTTTTTTAAACGAAACAGATGGAAGCTATGCACGTGTTGCCACTGCATGTGATCTCAAGCGTGGCAACTTTAGGGGCCTCCACTAGTGAGTGACACGTCATGAAATGGGAAAAGAATTGAAGAAGACACATGGAAGGGTATGAGGGGTCAAAAACATGAAGATTAGTGCTTTGTCTGTTCCTGCCCGGAACTTCAATTTCTAAGGACAATTTACTGTCTCTGTCTGCTGAATTAGCGCTCCACTTCAAATATTTTTTAACTTTCTTCTAACAAACTAATTCTAATTAATTTATAATACCATTCTCATTATTGTTATATTTCAGGAATATGGGTCAATCGAGTATATCATAGTGATTTAGAAGGTTGTTTTTTAAATTATTTCTTATTTAAAAATACATTAAAAAATATCTTTTATTTTAAAAAATATTTTTAATATTAACAAATTAAACTAATCTAAAAACTTTTTAAAAAAATTATTTTAAAAAAACTCACAATATCACAGCATAAATAAACAATGTATGTTATTTTTATTTGTTTTTTATTTTAAAAGTATTTTTAAAAAATTAATTTTTTTATTTTTTTAAATTAATATTTTTTTCTGATATTTTTAAAATATTTTAATGTATCAATGTTAAAAATAATTTTACAAAAATAAAAAAATTATTTTCAAATCACCCGTGAGTGAAATAGGAAGAAAAGAAGGAAAAGGGACTGGACCGAGAGGTGCCTGGGTCCACAGGCGACAGAGGAGCGCTGGACCCCCGGGATCAGGCGTGGGGCCCTAAACCCACGGGTACTAATAGAAAATTGAAGAACATCTCCGTTCCTGCTTTACCGAATATGAAGCACTTGATCCTTAAAATCTACTATCCACCTTTCCAAATTTGTTTCGAAGCTCTTGTGAATAGTTTAATTGGGGTTTGTCGTCCAGAGTCTCTATTCCACACAGAAGGCAG